CTGAGTTTCTCGCCGGATCTTCTCAGCGGGTCGCGATTCCGATCCGGTAGTAGATTCATTTGCGAAGCAGCTACTCTTGAGTTGTTAGGTCTCCTTCGGAGGCGCTCGGGTAGCTGTTAGCAAATCCCACCCCTCCTGGCTGAGCCTTTGCTCGCCCACCTGTCCTGGTGAAACTGGAAAGGCCTCCGGGCCACCAGTAATCCTTCAATCATAAAAAAAAAAAAAAAAGCTTCCACGATTGTCGATGTCACAATTTAAATATTTGCTTTTCTTTTACGTTTATACGATTCATGTTTACTTAGTAACTCGATATTATGTTTCTACATTAATATTTACACTGTGAGCTTCTTTTTTTTTATTGCTTAGATGTTTGGACGAGCTCACAGCCCACCTGGTGTTAAGTGGTTACTGGAGCCAATAGACATCCACAACGTAAATACGCCACCTTGAGATATAAGTTCTAAGGTCTCAAGTATAGTTACAACGGCTGCCCCACCCTTCAAACCGAAACGCATTACTGCTTCACGGCAGAAATAGGCAGAGTGATGGTACCCACCCGTGCGGACTCACAAGTGGTCCTACCACCAGTAATTACGCAAATTATAATTTTGCGGGTTTTATTTTTATTACACGATGCCATTCCTTCACCGTGGATGTCAATCGTGAACATTTGTTGAGTACGTATTTCATTAGAAAAATTGGTACCCGCCTGGGATTCGAACACCGTTGCATCGCTCAACACGAATGCGCCGGACGTCTTATCCGTTAGGCCACGACGACTTCAAGAAGCGCTGTCGCAGCGTTTGGAATAATAATGCGTCTCGCTTGAAGATTCTAGTATAACCTCTCGAGTCTACTAGAATAGGTAGGAAAAAACACGTATGTCACTCGGGGCCTGCCGCGGTAAAGCTATTGCATAGCATTTTTTTATCAACTTATGACATTATAATTAGACAATAGTAATTTAATATTAAAACAATAATAAAATAAGACCGCTCTATATTTATAAACATTAAAAAAACGAAACATTAACTGTCCCCTTCACACTCATAAGCTAAACCGCGCGAGAGAGAGATGGGCAGACTTTTCATAATGCGCATGCAGTGCGACATCATGCCGCGCGCATATTCACAAAGTAGTACATAGTAGGCGTAGTGAGGGGTGGAAGGTTTTTTCCGTTACGGAATTTCACGATTCCGCTCTCAAGCCGCGCTCAAGGCCCGCGATAAAATCTATGCAATAGCTTAAAAAGTACGTAATTATTTGAAATCACAAACACGCAGTAGATACTCACGCAATTGATAAACATTCAGCGATATAACACATGCAGTAAATACACAATAATACCTTAAAATACTTTTGTTTTAAATAACTCAACCACCCGTTGCTTAGTACACCACGACTTTACCAAATCTTTCACCTCCAGCTACGTCGCCATCATGAGTCCACTTCAGCCGCGTCTCGGCAAGAGAGCGACCCTCGGCATCACCGCAGCCATCTGGGCGTGGAGCTCCTTCATCAGCAGCCCCAACCTCATTTACTTCACAACTGAAAACGTCTCCTTGCCCGACGGAACTATCAGGTTTGAACATGATATTGAAGTACAATTGCAATACAAATACATTGATAGATGTGACAGTTCTAATGCTGTAAAGAGTCAAGGGTATCCGAACCATGCGAAAGACAATTAAAATCATATTTAGGAGTTCGTTTTGCCAAGGATGACCAATTTGTTGTCTCTCTTATAGTCTCAGCAAGCCGTTTCTCGCCAGAACTTCTTCTTCTCAGTGTGTCGCGATTCCAATCCGGTAGTAGATTCAACGAAGCACTGCTCTTGCTAGGGATAGTATTAGCAAAATCTTTCAAACTGAGCTCGTGAACTCACTTACTTCTCCGGGAGTAGCTGAAAGAGCCCCTTAGGCTACCAGCGAATAGGCAGAGGGTAAAAACCTCAGCATCGGGATCATGATCATTACATATACCAATCAAACGTCTTTTTTTTATCTATATGTAAAAGCTAAATAATAATTTAATTGTTACAGATGTGTTTGCTACTCTCATTGGCCAGACGGTATGACGACTAGATCTCGCTTAGAATATGCGTACGTATGAATTTATACTGAGCACAAATTCCAGCATTGCTGTTTAATGAAAAACAATAGCCTCGAATTCAAATTTATTGGACATCGAATCTTTTAATACGTCACATAGAAAGCTAGGACGTGCAGAGTCGTGATCTAAAATAATCGCTGAGTAACTTTCTTCGCAACTGTAGCTTACATTTGAAAAACAGCAAGCTAAGTCAATTTGATAAAATATAGCATTGCAAGTCAGACTCTCTTACAGGCAATTTAACCTGGCTCGATTTATTTGTAAAGTTCTGAACGGGACTTTTCTGAAAATAAAATTTCTATACCATCATTACATTATACTTCTGTTTGTAGAAATTTTAAATATAAAAAAAGATGTGTGGTGTCGTGGGACACCGGATAGGAACGAAGTCCTTTATTATAAAAATATTAATTTTAAGTTCTATTCGAGGTATAAAGAGAACAAAACTGGAGGTTTCGCAACAACCCACGGTCATTCGGTACCGTGCGTACTTATTGTGGCACACTTCATTCACGGTTGTTGGCATAAGAGTTAGTGTATTGCGCAAACGAACGCTCTGAGATCGTGGTCAACGAATGATAAAAAAAAATTTTTTTTGTACATTATTACAAAGTTAAGTCGTACACTGTGTGCTTTACTAATAAAAATCTTACGTTACGGACGTTTTTTCCCGGTTAGGGTACCCCTCCGCATCGTCCCATAAGGAACTTCGTTCCAAAAATACTAAATTTCAACAGGATATCCAACGATTCGGCATTAAGTGGAAATGTATAATGTTTGATGGTTTAGTTTTTAAAAAGAGTCGTTAACATTTCGACCAAAGCATTTAAATGTTAACACTCGATAGGAGTACAAATATACATATCTGACTTTTTGAAATCGTACACCTTTTTTCGAACAATAGCTCAACTTTCGCAGGTACAATGTGTTGTTCATGGTGCTGACATACTTCATGCCCATAATAGCGATGACCTACGCATACTCCAGGGTCGGGGTGGAGCTGTGGGGATCGCAGTCTATTGGAGAGTGCACGCAACGACAGCTAGACAATGTAAAGAGCAAACGACGGGTGAGAAAATTCCATTGTTACGAGAAATGAGACTTACTTTATTTTGCAAGAATCAAACCTACGCTGTACAATGACGTGTTAATGGAAAAAGTACAATATAAAGTAGTAAATAGAAAATTGAAATTCATAAATATTATCCCACTAGGTGGGATACAAGGTGGGCACAGCTAACTTTTCTCTTCCATACTATTATTCTATCACCCGTCATCTCAATACCTCACCCCTCTCTCTCTCTCTCATATCATCATTCACACACTCCATCCATGTCTTCTTCGGCAGACCTCTTCCCCCGCTACCTTGCTCTAACATTTCCTTAAATTAGTAATTACATTGACTATTAAATGTATCAAAAACTGACGGAATAAATAGATATAGGTAGTAATGCATTTCGATTTATGGCAACAACGTTTTGTAAGCAGTGATTTCCCAAGAGATCTCGATCCTCAATATTCAAAGAAATAATAATTAACGTTGCCCTTTGACGGACGCCAGTTCTTTGTAAATCCAATTTATTTCTTGATGGAAATAGATTCAACAGACACTAACAGCTGGATGGGATATTAGAGTTGTACACGACATTCTGCTTATAAAATTCTGAGACAAAGTTAAAATATCACTCTTTGGTACGTGATATATTGTAAAATTGATTTTGATAATGAATTAATGTGATTTCTGACAGAAAATCTCATCGATAATAGATTAGACATTAACGAGATATCGTGTATCGCATAACTGTATTGAGTCATTATAGAACGGACTTGATTCTCGTTCTGACACACCTGATGTTTTTCCAACGAGCAATGAATTGGATATACGGCGGTATCGAACCTCAAATTTTCAACTCTGAAACGTACCGTAAAATGGGGGGAATCGGAATTTTTAACATCTCTAATGAGTTACAAAACCTTGATGACTAAATTAAACTATTTAATATTGTTGAACACTAAATAAAAGTCATTTTCAGTTCAACAAAGTTAAATCTCTAACAGCCCGACAAAAGTATTGTGACATCCCAGATTTGTCCCTATTCTACCTCTAGTCCCTAATCCCCCCAATCTACTGTATTGAAATGTTTAATTGACCCAGAAGAGAACTTCCTTGTAAATCGTGAGATTATAGATTGTTTAAGTCAATTTTAGAGCTACATTTCTTTTACAGGTAGTTAAAATGATGATCGTTGTGGTCGTCATCTTCGCTGTCTGCTGGTTACCGTTCCATGTTTACTTTGTGGTAACATCGTACTATCCTGATGTTGTGAGCTACCCGCATATTCAAGAAATCTACTTGGGCATCTATTGGCTGGCGATGAGTAACTCGATGTATAATCCCATCATTTATTGCTGGATGAACTCAAAGTGAGTAATAATGATTTAATTGAATATAACTCGTAATTCGGCTATTGAATATTCGTAAATTTCATTGTCCTTTCCGATTCCAGATTCCGACGAGGCTTTAAGCAGTTCTTCTGGTGTTGTGGTGCTTTCGGTGGTGGTGGCCTCGCCAGGCACAGGGCTCTGGGACCAGACAGGACGGATAGATCCATGCGCTCCCTCTCACCCAGCCGAAAGAACGGAACAAGTATGTAAATTCACTTTACCAATATCGCTGCAGTCAGCTCTGTACTTACATTACATAGTTTAAAGATTGCTGAAATTCGTTTTCAGGAATCATTAGTACCATAAAATAGAAGCTATTAAAATTTACTGGCGTAACGCTAGAAGGTCCAGAAGACTCATTATTTCGATTGATTGATTTCATGTTTATTTAAAATGCCCATGTTATCGTCGTCTTCTTTCTCTCTCGATTTCAAACTTCTGAGAGTTCAATCTGATCCACAAATTTAACTCAATCTACACGAATTTTTTAAGTTTTGACATGCAAATCTCGATTGATTTCATTGAAATCTATTATCGTCGAGACGTATGTACACTCTTTTTCTCTTCTTCTTCATAGGTCTATTCAAGACTACAAAATTCATCAAAAAACCACCTGGCTCTCCCCAATTGCTTCATGCAAATCAGATATACAAGTAAGATTAATGTGAGGCCGGTTGCAAACTTCAATACATATACCGATGGCACGTGAGAATAATGTGTCCGCTTTCTCGTTCATCCCCAGTAGTTACGCCGGTCCATCCTTAGACTCGTCTATCGCATTTCGTGCTCGCAACCTCATCCACTGGCTTCTGTCTACACTGTCTCCTTACTATGACAGCTTTAGTTTTGTCGTTTTGGTGTACGATACCCGTAACACAGTCGGTGTCGATCCGTCCACGATCGGGCTTTGGATGGTTTAAATTGGTGGTTTTGTGTAGGCACTATCCGGATTTCGATGCATAGCATGTACAACAACAACGCGTCGGTGAGTGCGGGATGACCTCGGCGCGGCGTAGCGGGCGAGGGGATGCGCGCCCGCCCCCCGCATGCCGCCACCGCCCCCGCACACGCCGTCGAGCGCACGTGGATTTGACGCGACCGACGCGAGCGCGTCCCCCTCACCCCACAACAACTGTACGCGTGAACGTGCTTAAATAAAAATCAGACCTTATAAACATATTTTTGACCAGTGGAACATTGCGGTGACTTATCTGAGCAATAATTGAGATGTACATTGTAATGGCTCGGTCGAGATTGAATATCGATAAATAGAATTAATGCCATCAGTCGAAAGCGTCTGTATACTTTTGATTTTAATATTAGACAATGATGTTTGAATGTACATATTTATGTTTGTAAGAATATCACGCTTTTTTAGGATAATAAGAAAGAAAGAAGTAAAATTTTACTTGGAAAAGACCTAATGGTCTGAGTTGAAAACCCTTAAAAAATGGTCTCGAAATCAATGTGTTAATCAACCCTTAGTCGTCACAATAAAAAAAAACATTTTTTATTTTGATATTCTAAAATTGACGTAATTCTTATTATCAATACAAGTGTGTTTTGTGTCTACTTTCATAAATCTTTTAATAACAATTATTATATATAAAAAAATCGTAATATTGGCAATTTTAAAATATTTAGATATATTTAGGTAAATTATCTTTATTTCGTACGCACTAAACATTATAATAGTCTGCTCCCGCGCGCTCTATCGATGTATTCATAAAACAAAATAATTTTGTAAAATAGCATAATAAATCGCAAAATAATATTCCTTTTTATAAATATTAGATGTGTATACATATAAATGTTATATGTGTTATGGATATATTTAGATTTATATTTTAAAATACAACATATATGTGTAATATAGATTAAACAATTAAATTATATAAGATTTTAATGTTGATTGATAAGTACGCAACCAAAACTAATTGTAATTATAGATGTAATTTAAAAACTGGATATGATATACTGTATATATATGATATGATATATGTATGTACTCTTTCTTTAGTAAAAACTCAATAAAAATGGACCAACAGTATGTTTTGTTGCTTCAATATTTCATTCAATTTTAACATTACACGAATTGCATTTATAAAAATATTCACATTAAATACATGCCAAAATGGATGTATTTTTCCTTGAAGATATCTTATGGTTTAAAATTAAAAAATATCAATTTATTGTTGAATAATTCAAATGAGTTAATGATAGATCTAAGTCGGAGTTATCTACCAAGGTGGGTGATTATTATTAGTTAATATTATTATGTATCAAGTGTGGGTTTTTTATATAAATCGAGCTAACAATCATAAGGTATACATAATATAATATAATCGAGGTTGAGTTGTGAGAGCTTGTGTTGTCATATTTAAAAGATTTAATTATATAATAAGTTGGCTCTGATCAACATTAATAACATTATTTCAGTGTTGTTCTAATCAATTTCTAACATTAACCCTTCAAAATGTCATCAATCAAGAAACGTACAATATATAAATCTAGAAATCTCTGTATTTAAGTAATAATTGTAAATATATTTAATTTCTTAATAGCACAACTCTTAAACTATCTATAATGTTGATAAATCTGAATGAATGAAAATATTTTCTTTCATCAAATAAGTATTTAGATTTTAAGATTTTGTAAATACATATATAAATTTTCTATGGTAATTTTGTATGATATAATAATATGTAATATTGGATATTAGTACAGTAATATATTTTAAATTTAATTTAATTAAGAATTAATAAAAATATTGTACTCTATAATCCAAAACGTTCCGTTGTACTGTTGAACTCATATTTTGATTCACATGTCAAATGTCCGAGATTCCTGTGCATTAGTATAACTATGTGCCACAGAGCGCACAATGCGGGCGGTGGTGCCATGGAAAATACGAACACTACTCTGAGGCTATTGGAGAATAAATAACAACATTTGCTCTACAAACCGATAGTACTATATGCACAAAATATCTTTGTCAATCTGAACATAGACACTAGACTTCGTAACATTTTTTTTATTTTTTTTTTTATTTATTGCTTAGATGGATGGACGAGCTCACAGCCCACCTGGTGTTAAGTGGTTACTGGAGCCCATAGACATCTACAACGTAAATGCGCCACCCACCTCGAGATATAAGTTCTAAGGTCTCAGTATAGTTACAACGGCTACCCCACCCTTCGAACCGAAACGCATTACTGCTTCACGGCGGAAATAGGCGGGGTGGTGGTACCTACCCGTGCGGACTCACAAGAGGTCCTACCACCAGTGATTACGCAAATTATAATTTTGCAGGTTTGGTTTTTATTACACGATGATATTCCTTCACCGTGGAAGTCAATCGTGAACATTTGTTGAGTACGTATTTCATTGGAAAAATTGGTACCCGCCTGCGGGATTCGAACACTGGTGCATCGCTTCAACACGAATGCACCGGACGTCTTATCCTTTAGGCCACGACGACTTAAATAGCGAATAAAAGAGATTAATTTATTTTATTTGTGTAGTTTCGTACAGATTTTTACGTAAATAGATTAACTGATGTATTTATATACAAATACGCCTATATCGGATGAATTTCCGCGCTTTTCATAAGACCGTCGATCTGCCTTTTGAGAGATTTACCCATGCTGCGTCTGCGCGGTCGTCACATGAAAACTAAAAATAGGCAATTGTGGTGGAACTTGGGGTTGGCCTATATCCAATAGCGAATGTCTATAGGTTGACAATGATACCTAACAATCTGCGCAACGACTGCACGTAAATACTATAGTTTATTTTTCTACTATTACAATTTTTTCTACTATTTGTCTCAAAAAGGAATGCACATACCCCAGGACTTCACCCTTCATTGACTGGTAGAGAATGTCTTAGGCATTGACTCCGCTACTGTACTAAAATATAATCCTCCTTCGAAACAGATCGGTTTTGATACTTAGCGTGCAGACAATTAAATCGTTTTCACGTTAAAATAATATGTTTCTTCAATTATTAATCGAAATTAAATTTGCTTATAGCGATTCTAGTTTGTAATTAATTTAATTTAGTTACCGTGGTTCGGAGACGTTACTAAAAGAAAGTAATGCAAGTTACCTGATGAGTTTACATGTAAAAACTAAAGATGAATAGACGACGAAGACATATTGCGCCACCCTGACACAGGGACAACTAGGGAAGATGGTGATCTCATCAATATAAATGTATGTAAGATTTGATGTGCGAAATTGTAATTAATAAAATACACAATAAAATGCGTATATTGTTTTATTTCGTTATCCGATATTTCCCATATTTTTCCTCCGGTAGACAAAATGTGCTGCTCCTATTACGTGCTATAAATCGAATTTTATTTTCCAAAGCGGATTCTGGTGCTCATAGACAATTACAAAATGAATTATTTCGCCTACAATTAGAAACTCGAAGTTTCAATTGCCTTAGTAAACTATTCCGCCATATTGTTTGAAAATTTTTACCGCCAAAACGGGTGAATGACCTACCGACCCATCTAGTGTTGTGCATTTAGCGAGTGTCACAGACAACAACATGAATTAACCATTAAGACACGAGGTCTTTATATTATACTTTATCCCACTTGATGGGGTCGGCACAGCGAACCTTTCTATTCCGATCTCCTATATCAGCCGTCATCTCAACACTCGCTCCTTTTTGTCCCATATCGTCGACGTTGACGTCGTTTTTTGGTCGACCTCTTCCCTCTTTACCTTACACTACCGTCTCCATACATTTCCTAGTCACATGCATCTCATTGCATTATATACCGACTATCCGATCCTACAATGAAATGGATTTTTTTATTTATTGCTTACATGTGTGGACGAGCTCACAGCCCACCTGGTGTTAAGTGGTTACTAGAGCCCATGGTCATTAACAACGTAAATGATGCAACCCTCCTTGCGACATGATTTCTAAGTCTCAGTTATGTAATAAATCGTCGGCTCCTTCCCGCGCGGACTCTCAAGAGGTCCTACCACCAGTATTCTTTCGTGGCACAAAGATGCAGTTTAACATTGTAATTGACATCAACCGAAATGCAACTGTTACTGGATTTACACATAATACTCATCTACCGTGAATGGTTGGAATCTCACTTAAACAACGTTACTACGAGTATACATTTAATGGACCACAACCAAATGACTACAAGAAGAATGCCTGAAGATCTACTATAGATATATCGAAAAGACAATTTTTTTTAATGCTTAGGAGGGTGACTGAGCTCCCGACCTAGTATTAAGTGGTTACCGGGGCCCATAGATATCTACAACTTAAATACCGCTACCCACCTTGAGACACGAGTTCTATGGTCTCAATTTTTATTGTTTCCCGGGTTCCTGAGATGATATTCCCATGTGGACACACAAGACATACTACCACCAGTAAACACACATATCACATACACCGTATCTTATCATTTTTTTCACAGAACGACAATTTTTTTTATTGCTTAGATGGATTGACGAGCTCACAGCCCACCTGGTGTTTAGTCGTTACTGGAGCCCATAGACATCGTACATTACAACGTAAATGCGCCACCCATCTTAAGATATAAGTTCTAAGGTATCAGTATAGTTACAACGGCTGCCCCACCCTTCAAACCGAAACGCATTACTGCTTCACAGCAGAAATAGGCGGGGTGGTGGTACCTACGCGCGCGGACTCTCAAGTAGTCCCACCACCAGTAATTACGCAAACTATAATTTTGCGGGTTTGATTTTTATTACACGATGTTATTTCACCGTGACAGTCAATCGTGAACATTTGTTGAGTACGTTTTTCATTAGAAAAATTGGTACCCGCCTCGGATACGAACACGGGTGCATCGCTTCAACACGAATGCACCTGACGTCTTATCCTTTAGGCCACGAAGACTTCAAAAATTAAATTTCTAGAGACACATTACATAATACATTATTTAAAAAAGTATTATAACAAACAACGCTCACCTCAAGAATGGCCACAGCGACCTATCTTACACAGCCCGTAACGAGACTCCTGCGATTAAAAAAAAATCATTTTAAAAGGAATACCAATGTCACGCCTTCCCGTGTTACCGCTAGTTGAATATCGTATAGTATACCTATATTTTAAAAGATAAACTTTTTTTTGACAAATAAACGTAATTGTATTTATTAATATTTTCATCGGCTTAAAATTACTTTTACGGCTTAATCTCGCGTTTTTTAATATCATTATATTATTACCGACTTGGGTGTGATGTTACTTAACTGAAAAATGGAAAGCTGTTTGACAACATTCCCAAACTGAAATTTGTTGTTTATAATGTACACATTACGGTATAATGACTCTATTAACCAACTGATTTTATTATAATGTCTACAAATATCGGTAAATTTTTTTTATTGCCTTTGTAGGCAGACGAGCATACGGCCCACCTGATGGTGAGTGGTTACCGTCGCCCATGGACTTCAGCAATGCCAAGGGCAGAGCCAAGCCGCTGCCTACCGCTAAAATTAAATTATTAAAATTAAATAAAAATTATTTGTCAAGATTCCGGTCCAATTGTGCACAATTTAACGCTACAGACGCACAATTACATACTTTTACAATAAAAACAAACTGTAAAACGGTAATCATTTATTAAAACATACCGATCAACTTCCAACAAACAGAAATGTCGACCAGTCACATTGTACGTTATCGAGGAACGAAAGTTTCTGGTAATGATAAATGATATTGTTGGCTAGCGCCGAATGAAAGTTC